AACGTAAGTAAGTAAGTAAGTAAGTAAGTAAGTAAGTAAGTAAGTAAGTAAGTAGTAAGTAGTAGTAGTAGTAGTTAGTAGTAGTAGTAGTACGTAGTAGTAGTAGTAGTAGTAGTAGTAGAGAGAGAGAGAGAGAGAGAGAGAGAGAGAGGAACAAAGAACCTGTTGGATATCATGATATCCAAAATTACCTAAAACAAGAAAAATCCCATATTACGTGGGATTGCAATTGATATTGATAAGTTTCCTAGAGGAAATAGAAATCCAAAAAGACTAGGACTCTTGGTTATATCCCTTGGTTTTTGAAATATATGTAACATATATAAGAAGTTTCCAATTTAGTGGAAATTCCTAATCTTCTATATATAAAATAAGAGTGGAAAATATAGGTGTGGCCTATTTGGGTCACCACATAGGAACGGTGGCTTCCTCTTGAGAGAGAGGGGGGCAGGAGCCTCCTGTGCATGAGGCAAGGCCTCCCTTCAGAGAGAAGAGAGCTTCCTATGGAGAGAAACATTGCGATATGCAGAGTGAGAGGCTAGTTTCTTGTAGAGAAATAGTTTCCATAGAGTTTTGGGGTGGTTTCCCCTTTAGTGAGAGAAATGGGTTTCTTCCTGGAGACAGGTTTTGGCTGTGGAATAGAAATGAAAGATTGGTGGGTGATGCCAATCAGAAGAACAGGTCTTAAAGGGTTGCTCGACTGAGTTTTGTCAATGATTAAAGAGGTAACTCTGCATCCCAAAATCTATGATGTAATTCTTATTGGTATATTGGATTTCTACTTGCCATACCAGTGGATGTAGCCCTTTTAAAGTGAATCACGTAAATCTTTGTATTCTTGCGGCTTGTGTGTTTTATGCTTTATTTCTAGTATTATGGCTCGTACTCTTGCCTATTTTTTTCCTAGCTGGATATGTACATGCTCCTGGTGGGATCCAACTTTTTGGGATTCCTGTTTCTGCATCCAAGAGGGCTTTTAAATCCTAACATGTGGTATTAGAGCGCATGGTTCAATACAAGGCTAGTGTTTGTGAATTCGGTTGAAGAAAAGCACAAGGCAAAGTATCTGAGTGTTTTACTTGAAATGGAGAAATATGATGACAAGCACAATCTTTCGAGCAAGAATGATGAATGAATTTATTTGGCAAAAGATGAAGAATTTATAAAACTATCTAATGGATGTTGCCATGGTGAGTAAGATTTTGACATCAAGGTCGAGATTGTCGGATATGGTGATATCCAAAATCACCCAAAACAAGGAAATCCCATATTAAGGAAATCCCATGTTATGTAGAATTAGGATTGATATTGAAAAGTTTCCTAAAGGAAATAGAAATCTAAAATTATTAGGTCTCTTGGTTTTTGAAATATATCTATGGGAAATTTCCTATTTAGTGGGGATTCGAAATCTTATATATATAAAATTAGAGAGGAAGGAATAAGTGTGCCCTATTTGGGTCACTCTAGGGGAACAGTCGCTTCCTCTAGAGAGAGAGAGGTAGGGGTCTCCTGTGCATGAGAGGCAAGGCCTCCCCTTAGAGATAAAAAAACTTACTATGGAGAGAAATTCTCATTTAGTGGGGGACTCCTAATCTTATCTATTCTATGGAGAAAAATTCCTATTTAATGGTGATTCCTAATATTATATATAAAAAATAAGAGAGGAAAGAATAAGTGTGCCCTATTTAAGTCACTATAAGGGAATAGTGACTTCATCTAGAGAGAGAGGTAGGGCCTCCTATCCCTCAGTGATAAGAGAGCTCACTGTGGAGAGAAACATTGCTACCTGCAGAGTCAAAGGCTAGTTTCTTCCCATAGAAGCGGTTCTCAAGGAGTTTTTGTGGGGTTTCTCCTTTTAGTGAGAGAATCCCAATTGTTCTCAAGGTTCTCTTCCTAGATAATGGTTTAAGGTTTAGTTGTGCAATAGAGATAGGTCTCTTCATGGATAATGGTTTTGGCTATGGAATAGAAATGAAAGATTAGAGAGTGAGTCTAAAAGGGTTGGGTTTTGTCAATCATTAAAGAGGTAACTCTTTGTACCAAAATCTGATGTAACTCTTATTGGTACAATGGATTTCCATTTGCCATGCCCATGTAGCACTTTTAGGGTGAAACACGTAAATCTTCCATGTAGCACTTTTAGGTCGAAACATGAAAATCTTTGTGTTCTTTTGTGTTCTTGTGTGTGTTATGTTTTATTTCTTGTATTATGAATTGTGTTCTTTTGTGTATGTGTGATGTTTTATTTCTTGTATTATGGCATGTACTCTTGCCTATTTTGTTTCTAGGATTCCTGTTTTTGCATCTTAAAGCGCTTTTAAATCCGATCAGAACCCAACTTCATAGTTTTAACCAACACGGATAACAACTGAATATTTAAGATAAAACAGTAGCTCGTTTCTGATATAAAAAGGTCGCACTCAGTAACAAATTATTTCAGCAAAGGTCCATGGTGTTCATGCTGGGGCCTTCAGAGAGATTTATTTGCTTAGGCATTAGCTAGCCGGATAGTAAACTCAAAGATCCATCATAAAAACTAGTAATCTTCATGAAAAATCACAAATTTACAATCCAAAACAGGAAGAAAACAGAGCACTCTTCTCACCAGGCATCACAGGCAAATCCATAAAGAGTATCAGTGGGCACTGCAATCAGTTGGCCAGATTTCATGGCTTCCACTGCTTTCTCGACGTGGGTTTCTTGAGCTGGAAGAACCATACCCATTTTCCCCTCTATACCATTACCCACTTCTCCATTCTCCCCCATTTTCATGGTTAAAATCCCATAAAGCCTCCTGCTTTGGGAGAGAGAACGAGCAAAACTTCTCTCTACCACCAAAAGAGAAAACCAATTTAGGATCACAGCTCACAGTTTCAGGGAAATGCACAAAAACTGAGACAGAGCGAGAGAGAGATAGTTCTTAAGCAGATACGATACGAGTGACTGGTGAGAGATGAGAGATAAAGTGATTTAGAGAGAGAGAAGCAAACGGAGAATATGTAAGAGAGGTAGAACCTCTGCACCAGAGAGGGTGTGGGTGAAGGAACACTCTCTCTGCAACCCCAGCGATAGAACCCATAGAGCCTTTGTTTCTCCTCTAAAGCCAAGTTTTCACGCATTTTATATTTTTTATTTGAAAAAATTACATTCTAGTTTCCCATACTGTTCCATCGAATAGTTTTGGTTTTTACTGCGTATCCATTTTTTTTTAATGTGAAAAAATAAATTTAAAAAACAAATGATTTTATCCTTTTTCGATTGTTGAAAAACGGAATTTAAAATATTTCAATTATTGAACAACCCAAAATATATTAATTTCGATTATTGAAGAACCAAAAAGTTAAAACTTTTTTGTTATTTAAGAACCAAAAAATATTTTCTCTCTTGTGGCGTATTTTCTCGACCTCTCTAAAGCCATAGTTGTCCGAAAATATTAGAGATTGTGTGATTAGAAGATTAAGAGAAATCTTGTGACCTATTCTCTCTCAATCTATTTGAAGTCATGGTTATCCGATAAAAAATAGGAGAAAAAGCTAGTTTGAGCCCCGAAATTTAAGAAAAATCTTAGAGATTATGAACTTACCAAAAAAAAGATGCATGGTGAAGGGGAGAGAGAGAGTTTAAGAAAAAAAACGTATTTTTACCTATATAATATAGAGAGAGGTAAAGAGAGGATGCGCAGAGCCACGAGAGAGAAAAAATTTCCTGACAATTTTAAAATTTCGGTTATTCAAAAATAGAAATTAGTTCAATTGTTGAACAATCGAAAATATTTTGAATTTGGTTATTGAACTATCGAAATTTTCCCTTTTTATTTTCAGCAAAATTTATAGATGCTTGTTTCGAGGATGAAGTTTCTATAAGTTTTGAGCTTTATCAAAACAAAATAAAGGCTCACCTCTAATCCTTAACAGGAAAGCATATCGGCGATGAAAATCTACACTACCGCTCTAAAATTAATTTCCATCGCCGATAAAATTTAAGACAAAAAAGATGTATAGATCTTGTGGATATATTATGAACATTTTTTTTGGGGTGACATGAATGGTGTCGATAATTTGTTATAATATATTTTTAGAGCTTGAAATCTTAATTTTTTTTATAACTATAATGTTCAAGTCAAGATGATCCAGGTTTTTCAATACTTGCATTGCAATTTTCCATGAGCTATAAAGTAGGGCTTTACTTATTTTGATGGGGCTAAAATACTATCAAATTGTACTTTTTTTTAATATTTAAACAATCATGTATTTAAACTTTTCCCTCTTAATAAAAGGAGAGTATACAATGAGACCATTTACCTTTGGTTGGTACAAGGTGGTCATATTAATCTTGATCATTGGATGTGAAATTGGGTGGCTATAATTATTCTATTGACCATGCTCAAACTTCAAAAAATTTTTTATCAAAACTTTGTGACACATCCAAGCTATCAAATTTGAGAAATGATCCTATAGGACCCTCCCCCACTTATGTGTGCAGGACCCCAAAGGATCACCATTAAATTTGGTATGGATCTCTAAAAAAGTCAAGTCCCACACCCATGTGATAACTTTTTTAAAGAACCATGCCAATTTTAATGGCGATCTTTTAGAATCCTACACATAGGTGGGGGAAGGTCCTATAGAATCATTACTCATCAAAATTTACATTAGAATATTCCATTGAAATTTTCTCAAACTTCAAAAAAAAAAATTTCTCGAAGTTTGACTACATTTATTCCATTGACCAAGCTCAAATATCCTATTTTTAAGAATATCCAACATATTTCATTTTGAGATAGTAGACCGACAATTTATCTTTATTACAATACTCCTAGCCATTACGTATCAAATTGGATGGCGTGGGGGTGTGTCACAAAGTTCTAAAAATTTATCTAGTAAATTACAATGTTAGAATTACCTAATTCGAAATTTAACAGACAAATACGGTTATGACCTCCTTGTACCAAAAGTAAATGGCTTCTATGTATATATTTTTTAATTGCATCTCCTTTTTTATACACGGGATTATATTTAGTCTAATTATGTCCATACTATACTTAATTTTTTTAGATGTATTTTAAAATAAATAAAATTATTAAACTACCCCATAGGTAGTTTAGCAAATTTATTTATTTTTAATTATTTTATAATGTATGATAGCGAGAAGTATGGGTATACTAAATTTGATCTTAATCTCATATAGAAAAATATAAAAAATTTAAATATCATTAGGAAAAAGAATTTTTTTAGGTAAATAAAAAATAAAACCTAATTGTAAACTTATGAAATATACAAAACTAGAAATCAAAAGTAAAACATGACTTATCTATAAAGTTTGATTTATTTGTGTGTGTGTATTTCTTTCATTTTATCACAAATAAGTGTGAAATCAGAGGGCTAGGATGGCAAGTAATTAATAACACATAATCTAAATATTTAATATTTATGATGGCCAAATTCTTGAAGTTTCATGTTAAAAATCAGAAATTTTGCCTCTTGTTTTTTGTGAAGTTTTATGCCAAAAAAAGTCAAGAAATTCTATCTTTCAGGGCTTCCGAGATAGACTATTGTATACTTACACTCTCTGGGCCAAAAGAGCAACTTCGGACTTTTTAGATCCAAACATTTGGGATACTTATTTTTTAGATCCTAACATTTGGAATCTACTTAAAGATCACCGGATGATTATTTAAAAAAAAAAAAAAGATCTTGTGCACACGCTTAGATCTGATTATTGAAAAATTGGAAGATTTTTCTCGGGTTAGATTTTTATGATGTCATTCTTTTCAGGCACAAAGAGTGTCATGGGGGACTAATCATTTCCATTGCAGCTCAGCTTCACATTGGCCATCCTATATCAAAGAAAAAAGTACCCAAATCCTAATCACTATCAATGTGTCTTATATGTACTTATTAGGCCATGGATGCTGCCTCTGTTGAAGCTCTGTGAAAGGTGTTGTTAATAAAACTGAACAGAAACAAGAACAGCAAAAAGGATAAGGAAATAGAAAAGGAAAACTAACTGTTGTGGCTGAAGATAATGAGGCCATCCTGCCCAACAAATCCATTTCGACTAAATATGAAGAGGTACTTCTAAATCCACAACAACGGTGAAACAAATACCCTTTCTATTGAAAATGGCACAACACAAGACAGCTCAAATACACCCAAATTTCCTTTTTTACAATTGTCTATGGTACTCAAAATCACAACTGTGATTACCAAGCACTATAGAACCTCAAGAATAAAATTCCAATGGAAGGAGAAAAGGGCAAAATAAAATAAAATATTATAATGGGTATTCAACCATGAGAAAGGAAGATGATTCATCCTCCTTGTGCAATCTCAAAAATTGAAGGACGGTTTTCACTTGTATTGGTCTCAGATTGAATGGTGTTTTGCGGCATTGGATTTTCTTGTTGTGCATGGTGACGGGCCTCCTGCCAATTACGCCACCTGGTTCTCCATCGTAAGAATTCATGGAGCAAAGAATTTGCAGTCATGGTAACCCCAAATCCCCCAAATGCAGAGAGCAGGACTGATAGAACAACTTGTACATGGAGCTGCGATTCCAATAATAATATCACAGCATGAATTTTTTTATTCCATTTCTCTTTCTTTATGAGTACGTTAGATTGAATATATGTTAAGGCAAAGACAAAACCAACAAGATATAGTTGGCCTTTTGAACAATTGAGTTTATGGATAATCTGTTCATAGATTGAAAAATATGCTCAAATATTTACTTACGAAATACTTGGAAATTGAGATTGCAGTTCAAAGTGAAGCCCTATGTCAAAAAATGATCAAAATTTTCAAATTATTATTAAAGGGGAATACCCAGGACATTAAACAAGGAAATGAGCTATAAAAATCAATCCTCTAAGAAAGACTAGGTATTTCTTCAGATTAACATTACGTCTAGGTATTTTTTCAGATTAACCCTTTGGATGCAATTTTCTGCATGTTTGCTTTTCTAGAGAGCAGGCGCTTGCTTGTTAGTTTGATTTAGATTTCTCAATCTTGAATGTTGACATGGAGGAATGCAACTTTCAACTTACCAAGGAGTAGAAAAGATGAGCGAAGATAACCACCAGAGCAAATTGAGCAGACGCATAAATCCAAATATACTTTTTCCTCACTGGAAAAATAGAAAAAAGCATCAAAACTGGCCTATTGCCTTCACAAAGTACTGCAATTTGAAAATAAGTAGATACGAGCATAAATATCTGAACTTCAACCCATAATTAGCAATTAAGATTATGCCCAAACTTAGGTACTGCATTTTGAAGACAGGTATTCACATACCCATAGATGATGTTGTCATCGAGGCAAGAAGACCCAAGACGCATGAGAAAGGTAGAGATATGGCAAGAGCACCTGATCCCATTTTTGTAACCTGCACGAGAGTAAAACATCACCCAAAAGGGCAGCTAGGCAGATTTGATGAAGTAGCAGAAAAAGGTATCCATCTTACCAGAAGTTGTTCAAGAAAGCAAAAATAGGCGAGCATGCTGACCATGACAAGAACTGGCACATCCTGCCAAACCCTATAAAACAAGCAAGACCAACTTTAGTTTATGATAAAGTGCGTGTGCACACACATAACCATTAAAAGCGTCGGAATTTGACTATGAAGTTAGATTTCAGCAAACTAAATTTCTCAAGTGGACTCTGCAATCCTAAAACTCTGCAATCAGGGCTAATATCCCAGTGTCATACATGGGTGCTGTATCTTAATATTTTTTATATCATTTTATGATATAAAAAATTAATAATGCATGTTGTACAATTCAAACCATAGTCATTGGTTGATACGTACAATAGTGAATGTAGAGCTAGACACTGCTCAAGTTTAATGAATCTTGTGGTCATCATTCAAAAAAAAAAAAGTAAATGTAGAGCTAGACATTGCTCAGGTTTAATGAATCTTGTGGTTATCATTAAAAAAAAAAAAGAGGTAAATGTAGAGCTAGACATGACATAGTAGCACATGACAATGCCATACCAACCATATAATCATATCATGTTTTATTTTTGTTTTGTAAATAGGCACATCATTTCAAATGGAAGGCTCTATGAAAAGGCCCCAAAGGAAATGGATGGAAGTAGTGAGAAAAGATATGGTGACTTATAGTTTGATTGAGGGTACGACTCCTGATTGAGCGCAATGACAGAATAAGATTCATGTAGCCGACCCCAAATAGTTGCCATATGGGATGACGATGGTGATGAACTAGGAAAATTATAATAACTCTGTAAATTATTGCACTCAACAAATTATAATCAGAAACGGGTTTCACAAATTATTATACTGGGCCACAATATTTGATCCCCAAACACCAGGCTTCACAGAGGCCATCACTGTAATAGAGCTTCATGTTGCACTCTTTCATATTGAAGAAGCATGAACTTCTCAATGTTTGGTTACTCCAAGGAACCTAAATAAAAGATAATGACTATATTCTAGAAAATACAAGGTCATAAGAAATAATTTATGAAAGACATAACTAAGACCAAAGATCCCAACAGGGTCACCATAAAATGGCAAAATTGGGACTAGCGAGAGGCTATCAGAAATCCCAACATCGGGGAAGCATTCACTTCTAATTTTTCATCAAAATAGTAAAATCCAATTCCATTCAAGTGACAAATGAAAAAGTAGAAATATGGTAATGGGGAAGTAAACTACAAGCACTAACCCAAAAAGAGCCAAAAAAAATAAAAAAGACATATTAAAAGGGAAAGTAAACTATAAGCCAATGGACATTGCAAAACCATAGTCCATTAGGGTGATTACCATCAAACAAAATGATGGATGGTATCGGAGATCTAGCGGCACCCAGTGTGAGGATCATGTCCTATTTTGGTGCAAACCCACTCTCCATAACCATCCTTTTCATCAGACGATGATAATCCTGAGGACTATGACTTTCTATGACTCATGGGATCCTAATATGCTTCCCTTTTGTAAATTGATATGTTATTTTTTAAACTAGTTGTTTGTTGAGTCCCACTAATAATCTACAATATAGATATCGAAGTAGGCGATCCATTCTCAACATTACAATTCAGTGCTTGCCTGTAATGCTGAACCACTCTTCCCCGTGCTCTAGTTGATTGCAATCCAGCAGTTTGAGAACTTTGTATACGTAATAGTGTGACAGGAAGGTTACGGACCTCTTGCTTACAAACATCACAGTTCTTATTACCCTTGAGGCTAAACCATTTAACTGCACACTCTTGATGGGCCAGTGCAAGTTCTCCCTTACAACTGCATTCCATTTTCAAACTATCACCCCCCTCACTCAATTCAACCAAACATATCCTGCACACAGCCTCTTCTTCAGGTATATCTTCCCCAGCATCTTCAGAGTCTGCATCATAAAAGTAGATATAATAATTTCAAAAAGAGAGTGAGTATATCTATTGATAACGTGATGCCAAGGGTTCCATCCTAGCCGTTACAATGTCAAATGTGTGTGCATGTGTATAAGATTTTCTGGGCCAGATTGACCAATCTGGATGGCCCAAGTTCACGGACAGGGGCAGAGGCGTATGTTATATAAATGCATGGAAAAAGATTAGGAACGCTAGCCGTGTTTTCTGTAGCAAATTCCCAATGGCTTGGATCGAAACACGGTGAACCAATGTCACACGTTGCATGACAGTTTTTATTTTTAATATTTTTCTATGAATTGGATTTACATGAAATTTTGGGGTTTGCCTAATTTCAGTATGGCACATCCAAATAAAATGTTGAAAAATATTCGAACCCTAAATAGACCAAATCACCAGTGGAAACAGGTGGGGTTTTTAGTATTTTACTTGGATGTGCCTTGATAAGATCTATGTAAAACCCAATTTTGTGTCAATATGATTTCTATAAAAAAATTAAAAATAACACCCTATCACAAACAAGGTGTTCATTCCAGATTCAATCTAGGTTGTTAAGCATTTAATGTAAAGGAAAGCTATTGGGCATATGTAAGGGATTCCCTATATATATATATATAATCTACAATTCACAACCCTTCTAATTACAAAGGCTAATGTTAGAATGAGTTGTGAAGGGTTGATTTACTATGTTGTTCTTTTTTTAAAAAAGTTACTTTTTATGATATGTTGCTCATGAAGTAAAGATATTTATGTAAACATCACTAAAAGACAAGGGGTATTTTTGTTACTTTCATAGACTTCAAGTTGAAATTTTTACTAAAGGACAAGGGTACTCTACAAATAAAGTTTCAGGACACTAACTTCCAGAATAGCATTGTACTTTTGTAAAAATTTCAAATTTCTCCTTATTTAATGATTAAGTTTTATAGTAAAATAATTTTTTAACAAAAAGGGAATGATTTATTGATAAATAAGCCCATCACAACTCACTCTAGCATTAACATTATATATATATATGTCACTGTATAATTGTAATAAAATGAAACCACACTTTTAGAAAAGGGTGTGGTTTGTATAGAGCCTAGGCTCTAAACAATTAAATTAGAGCCTACCTTCAAATAGTGTTGAGAAATAGTTTCAATATTGGAAATCTTTGTGATAGCCTCAAAGTATATTTTCATATTTATTTATAAAGTTTAAAGCTTTAAAAATAGTGTAGATCGATAGATCTATGAAAACTTGAAAATCTTGAAAATTGATGGTCAAAAAATGCATTACAAAATACACACTTTCCAAAACTTTAAATCCATTTTTTCCCATGCCCATGCATCTTGATGTCAAGATGATCAACTTGAAGATATTTAGGCATCAAAACAACCTCTTCTAGTGAAATTTTTGAGGTAGGCTCAAATTTGATTGTTTAGAGCCTAAGCTTTATATAAACTTTTCCCTTTAGAAAACCATGTAGGATTATTTCATTATGTATATATATTTTTTGGTTTCAAATTTTGCTTTTTTGTAGTTGTTTATTAGAATGAAAAGAGTGTGCATTTAAAAATTGAAGTCAAACAAATGACCCTAACACGGTTCTTTAGGATTGTTACATTATATTGTGAAATCAGTCCCCTATGTGTGTGTGTGTGTGTGTATCTATATGTAATACACAATCCTAATGGTGATGTTAGAAAACCCTACTCCGTAAACTTTGACAAAAAATGCCCCTTATATCTATTATTCTTAAGATTAGGGGAGGGGCACTAGAGGTACTTTTCATACTCTCTTAAAAAAGTTTGGATTTTAATGAGATTCTCTCACCCATTATTCTATCCTACTATCTAGGATTGGTTCTAAAGTTATATCTAGTACCCTTATCTTCAAAATCATAGTAATACACATAAAGGGTATTTTGTAATCAAAATTTTTGGGTATAGGACCAGTGGAACGGTGTATATATAACTCCAACATGAGCAGTCCCAAGCTGGTCATGCCAGTCCCAAGCCCTAATAAAGGAGAAGGGTTGTGTTAGGTAGGGCCCCCAACATAAAACTTTGCCACATCTTTTCATGAATCCTGAACCTATTGGTTTGACTGAGGATATGGCCCTTGATTGAGCAGAATAGTAGAACATGATTCGTGTGGCCGACCCCATATAGTTGGGATAAGACTCGAATGATAATGATGATGATGATGATGATGATATATATATATATATATATATATATATATATATATATAAGGATGCAACTAGAAGGGAGAGAGATGTCAACAGTAGCAGTTGAAGTTGTGCACATGTCACATGTAAATTTTAGAAGTCCTGAATAAATTGTCTATATATTGTATTTTGTACCTACCCCTTTGCTTCTTCTCCATTCAATATCTCTGGAAATAATCAAAGCACCCTAATCAGATTTAACCAGTCTCAATCTCTAAATGTGATCCCCAATTTTTGTTGAAGCTTCCATGACTATTATCTCTTTTTTCTGGTCCCTGAGTTCGCCAAAAGATTTTTCTTAAATGGCAATACTATTTTACAACTTTGGAAGTTGTTACTAACATTCTTTACATTTACACTTTCAAATTATTTCATGCACTCAACCTATATCTTCCATCATGATTATATAGGTATTACGAATCAATCACATAATGATAATAACATGATATGTTTTAATCAGGAAATCACTTTTTTTTTTTTTGTCATTAACAGGAAACCACTTGATTGACAAACAATAAGCCCTATGTAAGCTGCTGAAGCATAAAGAACTGGTTTTACCAGCATTTACATTTGCGGCAGAATTTGATGTTGCCCCTCCTACTTCTGGTACATGAGGAGTAGACGGGATTATACGGTATAGGGCACCTATAGAGTCTGTCCTCTTCAAGCTTCTAGCCTTAATAATCACAGGAACAGATAGTGAACGTGGCATATGCTTCTGAACTCCTGGTGTCTGTCAGAGGTATGAGGACACCATACAAGCCAATTACAAACATGCAGAATTTGATAATAATATAATAAATAAGTAATCACACAAGTACTTAAATTGTGAAAGAAAAACTGCATTAACGAGTGGAAAAAAGGGTTATAACTAAGCCTTATGGTGAACACCCTATTTGCATTGAGATTAGTCTTGGTTTTTGAACTTCTCTCTTGCAAACATTGCTGATCTAACCCCCCAAAAAAGGTTAAGATATTCAATGTAGAATACAAACAAATGACAGTAAACTGTTTACCAAAATTTCCTATATTTTCCCTAAAATGGCCACAAATTACCACAAAAAAAAAAAAGAAAAAAAGATAAGCAGACAAGTCTGGTTTCTAACTTTCTAGACATTTATGCTTTGGCCAACAAGGCCCAAATAGACTTCATTCCTCTTCTAGAACTTCACTTCAGTCTAGAGGCCAAAGTCAACCATTCAGTCTCTAAAGATGAGTGTATCTGATGGGAATGATTGGTACGATGCAGTTTTCAATGGATTTGAAGAGTGTGCACAAATAATCCTTTAACAAAATGACGATGTGTCTGCCCTTTTCGGATAACAACTGCATATTTTCAAAATAATCTCCTTTGATTTTGAAGTTAAGGTCATTCAAAGTTTTTACAAAGTTAATCATCAGCAGTAAAGCTTCACTTGAGTAAATTAACAGTGAAAATCTACAAACAATAGAGTTGGATGTCCCTTACATAGTGACAATTCTATTATTAACACTTGTTTTCAACAATTAAAGCATCAATGCCATGCATGAAAACATTTCAGGACAGCCCACAGCTAAACAATTATTCAAATCCACCAGGGTAAAATTTGTGCCCATTTCTCCAACATGAATCATGCAGAATTATTTCTATCTATCAAAAAGACAAAAAAAAATCACTCAGAAATTTTATTAAAAAATTCATTTTCTGGTTTCTGTTTTGACAAGCTACTACTCTTGTTATAGAGCCCCTCTCATGGATAGTCATAAAAATTCACATGAGACTGCAAAATATTTATTTAGTTTACTATGGAACAATTTTTTCAATTGATATTTTACTTCAAAGTACCATTGATCCATCCAAGATCCACATTGAACAATTATACATAAAAAAACTAAGAATAATAAGATGAATACACCAACAAGAAAACACCTCGGCATTTCCCTTTTGGCATGAAAAACCAAATCATACACAGGCAGGGTTTCCACGGTCTATTGAGAAGATGAACCATAGTTCCATAGGAGGAACTATGGTTTGCATTCACCATCCACTCTTATTGAAGGATAGTGGATGCCATGCCAGAGTATGGTTTAGGTTGCATAAGATGTGAAGTCAATCATATTAAGTGAGATTGACATATAATATGCATGTCCAAAGTTCTGAAAAGTCCATAAATCAAAGACTGGTTAAAAAGAGCAAGCAATTTCTTACTATAGGGCTACACTGGTCGATGTCACTTCTTCCTCTCACTGATTCAGAGTTAGGATCCCCAACTGGTGTAACTGGTAGAGAGGACGTTCTTTTGGCTGGGGATGGTAAAAACATCTTAGTGAGAGAAAAAGACCTTCTAACCAAAGATTTCTCTCTAGGCAATGCAGACGGAGGAGTAGAAGCCCTCTCATTATCAAAAGCAATCCCTCTAGACTTGAAACTTGGCCATGGTAGGATATTTCTTATAGATGATTTCCCTTTCGGCAAACTTGTAGAAGGGGACAAGCTTACCCTCGCATAAGTGGGGCTCGGAGTTGGAGGCATATTTATTCTGACTGATCCTGAACTTGACCCTCCTTCTAAAGATCTTGGGGGAATCTCTAATAAAAGATTTGGTTTTCTTCGTTGGTGAACAGATGGGATTTCTTCTGAAATTCCAGTAGACTCTTCAACCTGCAAAACCATTGAACACCATGAATCTATCAGTTATGAATCAATTGAAGTAGGATGCAAAGTTTTATTGGCAAGATAGTAAATATCTTGAACTAGTAAATTAAAGGACTCATATGTTTAAAAACTGTTAATGGATTGGGTAATCGACTAGCTTTTTTCTTTTTCGTTTTTTGTTTTCTTTTTATATTCTTTTTATATCAGACAATCGGTACTTCATTCGCTGAAATGGTATAACAAGATAATAGACACAAAAAATCTTCATCCAATCGGCAAAAGTCAGGTGTTCTTATGCTTCTATCTATGTACAAGAGTCCGCCTATGTTAATATTGTTTCTTCTTATATTTGTTCTCTGTTTCCCAATCCAAATATTGGAAAGCAACAAACAAGAACCAGGGGTGTCATCCAAGTTCCCACATGGAATCTAATGTAGAGGCAAGCTTACTTGCTCCAATCATCAATGAATACTGTTCAGAAGCAATAAAATCAAAACCCCTACTACAGTAGTAAAAGGGTAAAATCTCAAGAAAAAAGACACATAATTGAGATTAACATGGCTAAGAAATAAACCATACATGCGTTAGAGGTTAAAGAACAAATAAACCAAAAAATAAGAAAATCATCCTGGTCAATAAAGAAGAAGATCAAACTAATAGTTGAAAGAACATAATATGTAAATTAGACCAAGTACATGAACCATGAAAACTAAATTGACATCAAAGTAATTACAGCAAAGAAATAAAAGTAAAATAAAATTACCCAACAAAGAAATGAAGCAAAAATGACCTGTGTACAAGCAAAAAAGAAGAAAGAATATCAGAAAGGAAAGAAAGAAAAAAAAAAAGATTACCTGTTGAAGTTTAGAGCTTGAAGAAACATTTGGGACAAGGCCCCTGTCATCGTTATCCTCAGCACCCATTTTTCTCAGTCATTCAATAAACATTCGGTTACAATTATTTCCTCATAATCATGAACAAGTACTAACCTGATTGCAGAGAGAGAGAGAGAGAGAGAGAGAGAGAGAGAGAGAGAGAGAG